CAAATAACAAAAAAAATTATATGTTAAAACTTGTCCACTGTATGTGTGGACTGTGGTGTCGATACATTTTCACACAGTTATCGATATTTTTATTCATTTCGTTATAAAAATGTTGTTTTAATTTGTTGTTATCGATATAATTATCGGCAAATTTATCGATATCGAAACAAATTATCGACATATTTAAAAATATATGTACATGTACAGCGTAGGAGTCAACTTTTAAAGTATTTACCGAAACATTTTTCGATATCGTTACCGATGTATTTAAAGGAATCGTCATTAACATATTTTTCTCGTTTTTATTCATGTTTTTATCGGCATTAGTACTTTTATAGATGTGAATGTATGTATGTATGTATGTACACTGGAGTGGTCCAAATTTTGTATGGGAGAAAAAAATGTCATCGTAGAAAACGGGACACCCCTTGGGTTTTCTTCTTTTGGTATTTGTAAAATCTATACCAACTTTAAACTTTCTGCTCTAACCAACATAACAACAACATAAAAGTGAAGCGTATCCCCATTAATTTCGAAAAAGACCCCAGATCATGATCCAAAGTCAGTTTTGGAGTCATCACTGAAGATTCGACAATGTGTGTGCCCGGTCTCAGTGATGGAGTTAAACCAGCATTCAGTCTCAGGGAACTCAAGATTATAGAATCTCTTCAACAAAGGTAATGGTGGCGTACTATCCTGTAGCATTGAAAATACACAAGTGCTTGAATCTCTTTCGCTAGCAATTTTCGCCGCGCCCCACTCATTGTCATACCAGCATCCGGTTCTTTTTAATCTGCAGGTGGCCTTTAAGGCTTCCCCACGTATGAAAACACAAAGCGACGGTAAGTGCAGCAGGTCGTCAAGAACACTATACACTACTCAAAAAAAATAAAGTTAAATAAAGGGGCTATCAAACAACCATTTTGGTTCTCTACATCGAAACCAGATAAATCTTCGTGGACCCCCATTTACAACTCATGGACCCCCATATTTTTTCATGTCACCGTGGATCCCCGTCGAGTCATCCGTGGACCCCTGGGGGTCCACCTGGGCCACTTTTGGAATCACTGCACTAGACCGTACCAGAGGAATAAATCACCGTACACCCCTCAGTCTAAGGTATTTTTGTAAGGCAATCTCGAAAAAACGTAAGGGTTCTCCTTTTTAAATATTTCGTAATTTCTTCGGCATTTACTGTCGGATATTAAAGTATGATAAATCTATCTTCAAGAAATGTTTTCTCCAAAGTTCACTGACCCCGTTCAAGTACCCCGTTCTAGTCCTTACGCACCAGATCTCAGTTCCTACCGCCCTACTGTACCATCCTAATATCTTTAAATTAAAGCTCTCCGAAAATCGTAAGGATTTTTTTGATTATTCCAGTCGATCAGAATTAAAAAAATATATATATTTTGTTTTGCTTACTTTAGGTGTCACCGAAAAATGTAAAACGACGACCGCTAGGTTCGGCCAAAACAAAGTTTAGTTTTCGAAATTTCCCTGGGTAAATTCCCTAAATGATCGATGTTTTGCTTCGATGCAGCGAAATTCTTCCACTCGGTGTATATAGTCGATGTATCGATGCATCGATGTTTTTTCAAAACTGACATCTGTAGTACTTTGAACTGCCATTCCAGTTTTTTAGTTGTGCAAAAAAGAGAAGTGACTTTGACCCATGATTCAATAACACAGGTTTACAAAAAAAAAGTGTATGCATATTAAACCAAACCTATATATCCCTATGTTATTCGACATGCTGAATGCGAATCCGAGGTCCGTTAGCCTCCATCACGTCAGGTTCGTGGTCATTTGAAGGTCAAGTAGGGATAAATTAATTGAATAAACCTGAAAATTCAATAAAATTCATCGGAATTTGACCTTGGGATGACCCAAAGTTGGCATGACCTCCAGAAGACCTTGAGGAATCAAGGGACCTCCATACTCGGTTTCAGTGACAACAAAAACAAATTTTATTTTTTTAATATTTATTGAATAAATTTTATGTCCTATTTGACCTTCAAATGACCTCGAAGCTGACTTTATGGAGGTTAACGGACCTCGGATTCGGGTTCAGCGAATGCAAAACCTTATGTATATGAATTTTCAGGTTTATTCAATGAATTTTTCCCTACTTGACCTTCAACTAACCACGAACCTGACGTGGTGGAGACTAACGGACTTCGGATTCGCATTCAGCGTATCGAATAACATATAGATATATAGGTTTGGTTTAATATGCATAAGCTTTTTTTTGTAAACCTGTGTAATTAAAGGTTTGCTCATTACTGACATTAGAGTTTTGACACTCCCTTAGCTCCCTTACAAAAGCTTTGCACACACACACGAACCCACACACAATGCTTTGCTAAGGGAGCCGATTTTATCAAGAGGGAGCGAGAAAACTGCTTTTTGAGCAAACTTTTTTATTATTGAATCATGACTTTGACCAAGGCGAATTTATATAAGGTGGTGTTACTAGCTCAGCTGATTTCGTGTATGTGTTTCGCCGCACGGCTTCTGATATCAAATTGAAAAATTTTGTTTGAATTTCTACACACACTCTTACAAATTTTGACAGTTTATGCCGCCAAAGTAAAAACAAAATACATGTAAATTTTTGTTTTTGTACTCCTGCTATCACCTTATATTAATTCGCCTTGACTTTGACCAACAAATAGAAATGGCTCCAAAAAGTTCCGTCAGAAATATAATTAGCTCAGTAGCAGTAACATATTTCTAACTTTGTGCAATTTTGCTAATAACATATTGGCTGCGTTTCTTTATACATTCCGGATAATCCATTTCACAGCCAGAATAAACAGAATGCGTTTGAAATATACGTTAACATATCATCAGGAACGTTCCACAGAATAAGTAAACAAAAAAGTTTATTCCAAACGTTCAGTATGAATAAAGAAATGCAGCCATTTTGTTGTGAAAGATTATCTGAAAAAATCCTATGCAAATCGATTGTCGATGTATGCCATTCGATGCATCGAAAAGTATCGTTATGCATTTCGATGCATCGAATCAAAGAAAAACATCGATGTATTTTTGCCGCAGAGCGATACGCGAATACGACGCGAGTACGCCCGTCGGGCGGACGCTGTCCAGGGCTGGTCCAATGTACATATATGTTTATATCAATGTCGTAATGTCTTAAGAGCAATTACATTATAGTGCACTTATGCAGTTCACCCAAATCACATCTCAAAAACGGGGGTACTTAATGTGCAATTGTAGCTATTTATTTCTACCGCAATTAAAAATATCACAATAATAATTTTTCAAAATGTCTGCCACATACATATGAGGCTCAACTACACTTTGCAGAAACCTGATTTTTCTTTTAAGCGAAAACCGAACAGGCCGCCAAAGGTAGAAGCAAATGAAGATATATGTAAGAGTAAGTGTATGTCCCACACACGCCACTCGCTAAACACCTACTAACCGCCCAACTATGATGCCGGCGCATAAATTTTAATTATAATTTATGATAATGTGTTTTATCTGGCAGAAAAAACAGCGCAGCCGACAAATGCAGGCGTATAAGGAAGCAGCAGTGAACGAGCAAGAAACTAGAGACGGCATAGAAGCGGGAATACCAGAAATTAAGAAATACAAAAATGAGTAAACAGGAAAACATGTCTGAGTGAGGGGGAAGGTGGAGGTGAAAAAAAAACGCACAACAAGTGACATGCCAGCCAACGCATGCCTGAGCCAAATGGAGCAACGCTGCATTTTATAGCCACGAAGACGAAGTCATGGCAAATGATAAAAACCATAAATACAAGCGGGAGTAAGTACACATCCACATGCATATATGCTACATATGTACGTACCTCATACATACCTCGCATCAAACCCACATCTACACATTTCCCCTAGGACAAATGAACAAAAACGCTTACTTGTACTCTTAAGTATTATTCTTACTTGTACTTATGGCTGCGCATTAGTTTGCCACGATTCGTACTCGTAGTTACTTTGCAACAAAAGCAACAACAATTAAAGCGAAAATACCTGCAACTAGTACAAGTAATGCAATAAAAGTCCTCCAATGCCGTCTACCGCCCACTAGTGTTTATTAAGGAAAATAAAAAAGAAAAATCAGTTGGCAGCAGAAATGAAAAACGCATGCAGCAGAGGTAACAACATATGTAAATATGAAGAACATAAGCAAGCAAGTAGGCAGCTAAGTGAGTAAGTATGTACAGAAGTGAGTGTGCGTAAGTGGGCGAGTTTTTTGCGCAAAACAAAGCATAACAAGCAACAAACCGAACGGAAATGGCAAGGCAACAATGCATGTAGTAAGTAAGCTAAGGATCGGAGTGGTGGAGCGAGCGCAAGTGGGAATGGTGCTGCAACGAGCAACTGGTGAAGAATAGCCGGTTTGTTTGCTGTGGCTTTTGGTTAGTCTGCGGGTGGTACAATTGCATATTCATGCGAATTCTTCACGTTTACCCCGCTTTTTTGCTTCATTCATCGGCTGGCCTCTGTTTGGCTCTTTGTTTCAAGTAACAGCAAAAGCTAACAGGTTTACGATATGAGTAACAATAATAGCAGCAGGACATCGAACAGAGGTATGGTAGTGGCAACAACAAGTCGCTTGGTATCTTGGCTGTATCTTAAAGCCGCGTGGACTTAACGATATGAGGATCAGACTTAAAAACAGGGACCAAAAATAACTGTTATCTCGAATTTACAACTTTAAAACGTTGACCGAATTCTGAAATTTAACGAAAACGTTGTTTCATAACACCTATTAGATGATAAATATTTTTGTTTCGCCGATAAGAGTTATACCCCAACGTTTATTTTTAACGTTGGGGAGTTATTTCGCTATCTGTCTTTTATTTCCATCATATTCGCCTACATTTTCATCAATATCTTTATCTTACAACATTTATCAGGCATCGTAAAAAATAAACATNATTCATTAATTTACGGGTATGTTTTTCGATATACGTACATACATACATATTTGCTATTTATTAATAAGTTTATCGGACACGCTCTCAATAAAATTATTAATATAATATTTGATGTACTTATCGATAGTAATATTTATCGATATCAAACCTTTGCTACTACTGCGGTTATCAAAATTTTTACTCAATATATCTTTCAATACATTCGTCGATATTTATATCAATGAATTTATATACTTATGTGCAAATAAAATGTTATATGTACATACATACTATATTCATATATTCATTGATAACGCTTTCGCTTTTATTAACCATATAATCTTCCATACGTTTATTTATCGATAGTTTCATCAATAACATAACTCAATTTTTGGTATATGTAGATAGTTTTAGGAAAACGTATTTATCGTTATCGTTTTTCAAAACTGTTACCCATGTACTTACTAAACTTGAATTTGGCATATTTTTTAATAAATTTGTCGATGTTGTTATCGATACAGTGCATACATGGATATAGTTATACATTTATCGATATTTTTAAAAATACATTTATCGATATCGATATCAAAATCTCAATTACTAAGCTTTTCGAAATTAATATCAATATTCACCATGTTCTTGTTCACATTATGACTCTTTTTTTAGCCGACTTCGAAAAAATTAGGAGGTTATCAATTCGTAGGAGTATTTTTTTTGTACATATGTTACCGAATAACTTTGGTCGACGTTAACCCATTTCTACAATTCTTTTCTTAAAGGAAATGTGGTACCCTCATAAGCGGTCCCATACTAATGTGGTTGAGATGCGATCATTGGATCATGAAGAAATTAACGGTACTCATAAATTTTTATATGAGAATTGAAGTCGGCTTTGTTTTTTGCTTAAAAACGACTTGTTCATTTAATTTTTGTCCAAAGTTAACCCACTGTAAACAACAGCCAGCTGACTCATGTGGCCGGCCACCCTATGTACCGCGCTGTGGATTGTTGCTCGGTTAGTTGGACAGCCTACAGGCGACGGTCATACGCACTCATGCAACTACTTGTCTGCAGGTTTATATGCATTTTGCCAATGCAATGTTGCGGATAGCGCCCGTACCCTGCGCGCGGCAAACGGAGTTTCTTGCCAACCTTCACTTGTGGCTTGCTGACGCTCGTTCGCGTTTTGTCATAAAGTGCACTAAATAAATTAATGTTGACGTCCTCGTCGGTGGTGGCGTCGAAACTGATAGTTGTTGTTATTGTTAGTTTTATGCTATACAATTACTGTTGTTGTAGCAGTATAGTTTTCGAAGTTATTTTTGTTTTTGTTTTTGTTTTTTTTTGTGCGTTAACATTTGAATACTAACAATTTCTTCACAGTATTCGAATAACGGTTTTTTGCTGTTTAACTGTTCTAAAACGGCAATGAGACCAGCAATTGTTGCTGTCGTGCAAGCAACAACACTTCTAATGCCGGTGTCAATTATGTGTGCGCATATACAATAAATACATATGTATGTGTGTATGTGTGATATGGTATGGTGTGGTTAAGTGACGCTGGTGGCAGTTTTAGAATTAATGCGTAATTGCAAATGGCAAACAGGCCAAGTCGTTATGTCAACTCAGCTATGCAGGTGGAAGGTTAGCGAGCGTGCAAGTAAATGTGTACCTACATATTTATGTATGTATATACATATGTATGTGTGAGCTTGTGCAGCATAAATAAGTTTTTTTATAGTTGACATTTAGGCGCCTAAGCTTTTTACGAGTCTACTGTGCACTGGCTTGATGAGTGCATGTGATTTTAGGTATGTGTGTGTCGGTGCATTAGATTAGTGCATTAATACCTCGGCATTTCTTCACCTGTCTCTTCATGCTAAACGCTCGCATGTTCACATTTCTTTGCATTCGCCTTCGCTATCATCTCTTCCATCGTATTTTCCTTCCTTCTTCTTCTTCGTCGCTTCTAAGGAAATGTAGTCGTCGTTAGTCATGCGTTGCAAGAAGTGCTATTGTTATTACTTGCTGCATTGTTTCTTTGCTATTTGTATTGAGGTTGTTTTTGTTTTTTGCGAGTTATTTTTTTTCTTTTGTTATCGTTGTTGCATTTCCTGTTGTTTACCAAGTTATTTGCAAAACTGCCAGCGGCTAAGTGCGAAATTTATGCTTTTAATTAATTTTCATTAATTATGCCATGAGTTGGCTCAGACGGCTAAGTTGGCTGAGTTGAAGAGGAAGTGTTCAAGCGAGTTGGCGTCAGTGCAAAGGAAGTGCAATTCCACTACTGAGTTTGTAGAGCCGAGTTGGCTTATGAGCATTCTTGATTATTTTGCGACTCGACTTCAGAGGCGCTCAGTTATGAATTGCTGCCTCTTTTAGAAAGCGAGTTTTTGCTTGCAAATCGTTGTTAGGCAGTCATTTATGCAAATTCTAATTGTCGCAGCGGTTTGTTGGTTTATTAGCATTGTAAATTTATTTAGTTGTGTTTCTTACATCATATCGATTCAGAATTGGTACACCGAAGAGTTCAAGGAAATGGAATTTGAGAAAGAGACGGCTTAAGTTCTTTATTCTAAGCCACCTCTCTTTTTTAAGAAATATTTGCAGATAAAGTTTTTCTATGGTAGAAATCTTTGAAAAAGTCTGGGGAGGGTGCCTACAGCGGTCCGGAAGAATGCTCGGAACAATCTCTACTCCCACCTAAACGTAATGCTGTTAGCTATAGCTAGGCCTATAGACATGGGAAAAGCTAATTAAGTTCACACCGGCACAAAGCTTATGTAGATCCCTTTCCACGCACATGCCATCAACGGCAGACTGTGAGAAGCGTAATCAACATAGTCAAGGTCCAGTTAATCCGTTTACAGTGGACTCAAAGTCAAATGGAAAAGTTTGTGGAACCCTCTTCTGGATCTACATTAAAGTCGAATTCAGGCTTCTGGTATTCCAGTGAATACTCTCGCCAGATAAATAGTAGCCAATTGGAATGCGGCACGTTTCAAGGAGTTTACCATTTATTCTTATAATAAAACTACTTTCAAGCCACTAAACTCTAAGTTGATCTGGTTAAAGCTGATCGAGCCACACCGACCCTCTTTCTCTATATGAAGAGCCGATGATGTTGCCACCTTACTTTTTGTATCAAAAGTGGCCTACCAACCTAATGTACCAAATGCTCTTGCAATGTCTAACAACAACAAACAAAGCGGCCGACCAAATAAACATATATACGCACAAAAAGGGAGTGACAAAAAATTTACAACCGGCTGACTCAGTGGAGACGGAGGGGTTGCTAGGGCGAATGAAATTTAAAGTTCGAGAACAACAATGAAAAGTACTAAACGACACTACCTATTAGGAACAGTGTATATACAAGTATGTACGTAATATTATACTAGGATGGTCGAAATACACAATAAAAAAAAAAATTAAAAAAATAAAACACAAAAGTTTAAAATAAAACCAACCCCTGTTTTTCGGCCGCACACGAGGTGAGGTCCAACCAAAAGGTTACAAACCCACTCGCACTACTTGCCAAGCTACCGGGGGTAATTTTAACCCGCCAAGTGACTGGGCTCTGGGTGCGGTATGCTAAAATGACGGGATAAGGAACACAATAGAGGAAAACTACCGACAACTCTACAAACCAAATACAGGCAACAACACAAGGGGATGTTTAAGCTTTGGTCGGGGTATGCGTCGACCACGGTGTGCTCCGGTGGTGGAATGTCCTCGCATCTCCGTTACCGACACTACCTCCTGATACTCCTCCGCCTCGACTGGCGCCACTCCTTTTCTAGCTGCTCTACTGCAACTAAAATGTTTCAATTACGCACCGTACCTCGTCTGGTACTAAATCCTATCTTAATATTTCACCCCGCACAAGAACTAAATATTGCTCAAAATAGCGATGTTTCCTTTCCCAATGCTTACTAGGTTTCGCCACGGCGCGCAGCTACGAATTGGGCCGCAACCTACGCACCGGTTCGCAAAACCATCGTGGCTCAGTGCTGGTGCTGTTGGTGTCTGATCAATTGGCTACGGCCCTTTAATTCTTAAAACGAATTAAGGCGGGTTCACCGTTCGTGTCCGGACAATTTTTTATTTGCTCTCAAAACGTTTTTGCCGAAGAGGGTGCTGAAGTACGCTTCAGCGTTCAGTTGGACACATTTATGATTATATTGTTGCCTACATACAATTAGTCCATAGGGAGAGGGGCGTTATTGGAGTGGGCTTCAGGGGGCATGAGAAGAGGTGTCGCTAGTAGTCCGCATTTATCCTGCCCAGGTAAGAGTTTAGCCTTATGCAGTAGCAAGAGTGCTCTGCCCAATCCACAAGTAAGGTGACCCCGCCATTCGCGCTAACTACCCCGGGATCAGCCTTCTAAGCATATGTTACAAGGTCTTATCGAGCATATTGTATGAAAGACTGAAGCCCACCGTCAATGAACTGATTGGGCCTTATCAGTGTGGCTTTAGACCTGGCAAATCCACCATAGACCAGGTATTCACAATACGCCAAATCTTGGAAAAAACCAGCGAGGAAAGGATCCACACTCACCACCTATTTGTCGACTTTAAAGCCGCTTTTGATAGCACTAA